AAATATTCCGTAATACAATTGCACCATTTGGTTTAAGATGGAGACATTAAGTCGTGGAAGGAACAGCTCACCCCAATCGAGGCTGCGCAGTCTGAGGGATGATTAATGCAACAAGTGTTTTTTCACTATGAAAATAGCTTATGTTGCCCATTATGAGCTTGTATCCCTCCCCGTCTAGAGAGTTCAGGCCCAGAGGCCTGCACGGCTCCTCTATCCTGGAATCTTCTGGATTTAAACCACCCCCCACGGATGCTCCGCAGACAGCGCTGAGGCCACGGGGGCCAGAAGTAGCTCGGGACTCAGCTGCCCCGGCTTTGCTGGCCTTCGGCTTCCCTCTTTTGAAGAGTTTGGATCTTGCTCTGTGATCATCTTTTTGGCATTTTGGAAATCATGAGCCTCCCGCCTGCAAAGGGAAGCAGATCCAGGCCCCTGTGTCTGTGCGGTTTTGTTCCAGGGATGAGTCCTCTTTGGGCTGAAGCTGCAGGCCGCTGCCCCGGGTGGGGGCTGGGGGGTGGGGAAGCAGGGGTGTGGGGCTGGCTTTGGAGAATGAATTAGCACATCACAGCGCTTTGTTTTGGGGGACTTCATCCTGCATCTTGTTCACCAGAAACACTGCAGTAGGTAGAGAATCTAAACGTTCTCTGGGGTTCTCTGCGTTCCTGTTTTTAGAAGATGTGCCTGTGACCCTCCTGCCACCTCTCCTCCCTCTGTCCCTGAGCGGCCGAGGGCAGGCCCATCCTAGAGCCCTGCGCCCAGCACGGCTGCCCGGCAGCAGGTGCGCAGCCCGCGCTGCACGAGGGAATCAGCGGGCCACAGTTAACACTGTCCCTTCGTCCTGCCCGGGGCCCAGCTGTATGGCCACCAACACCACGCTTCTCAGTCTCCCGACAACAGTCTGGGGCCCTCATGAAGAGTGTCCGTCTTAGAGATGAAAGCTCTAAGACTCAGCAGCCCGATGGGGAAGGAGAGAAGGCTGAGAAGGCCGGCCTGGCTCTGGAGGCCCATCCGGGGAGGGGACGTCAGGGCCTGAAACCCAAGCGGCCTGACCTGGAAGAAATGGGCAGAGGAGCTACTGGCCCAGCGTCCTGCTTCTAGTGGGCTAGATGGTTGGGGGGCAGAGCCCGGCAAGCAGCTCCGGGTTGGGGGGGGGGTCTCTGGAGAGAAGAGAGCCAAGAGGAGAGCTAGGGCTTGGGGGGCGGGGGAGCCGTGGCTCTGGAAGCATCGCAGGTGGGAGATGGAGGATGCACAGGGGAAACAGAGGCCAAAGCCTCCCTGAGGGGCCTCGGGGGTGAAGTCGAGGCTGGCGGGGCGGCAGAGGCTGAACCCCGCACACCAGGGACACTGCACGTGGTGGCCGGGGGGCTTCAGGCTCCCCTTGCTGCTGCCAGGGCAGGCGCTGTGATGGCGGCCTGACGTGGGGGCCTCGGCCTTCACCTGACTGGGCGTCTGCTTGTGTGCTGAGCATGGGCAATGGGGGGAGGGTGGCCCTCAGGAGGTCACTGTCCCAGGAGGGGATGTGGATGTGATGGCTGAGGCCTTTCGCACCTGCAGAATGGGGAGGGGGGTGTCTACACCACAAGGGCCCGCGTGTGCACGTGTGTGTGTTGGGGTGTTTCCACGGTAGTCATCAGCTGATACGTATCAAGTGTTTACAGGGTGCGGGCCTCACTTGGACGGCCCCTTGGGAGGGAGATGCTACCTTCCCCACGTCGTAGGTGGGGACACTGAGGCACAGGGACTGGGCAGGGTGGTGGCTGGTTTCCAGCATCCCGGCCTCCTGGCATTCACCCCCTCGTGGGGGTCGTGGCCCCTCGTGGGTGTCATCGCCTCCCACCGCAGCAGGGCTGGGGTGTCTGCCCCGGGGCCTGTGGGGAGGTGAGGCCCTGCCACTTTGGGGATTAGGGTGTAGACGGCTGTGGCTGTGGCTTGGTCTCGTGGGCTGCTTGCTCACATGGGGAGGCCGCGAGTGGCTCTGGGAGGGGCTCTCCTGCCCCAGCCCATAGCGTGCAAGCCCGGGAGAGGCTGAGTGTTGGGGTCTCCAAACTTCTGGGCCTGGGAGGCCCCGGGGGCAGGACTCGGTAAACGGTGGCCCGGTGTCCCTGAGGTGGGGACCCCGCTCCCGAGGCCGCTGCAGCAGGAAGGCTGGAGCCAGGGCGGCTCGGGTCAAGGGCAGGCCCCGGACATGAGCATGTGGCTGGGCTATCTGGGGCGGGACACAGGCCGTGGGGACGGCAACCCCTAGAAGTCACCGCCGAGCAGGGATGGGGGGGGCTCAGCTCCTTCTGGTCAGAGCTTTGGCCCCTCGATGCCCGGCACCCGCCCGGGGCGCTGCGCCCAAGGCCGCGGGTCACCAGCAGGAGCCACCGTGTCGCCGGCCGCGCCCCCCGCGGGGCCTCAGTGCAGGTGGCCCTGGGCCAGGCTGGCTTGGGACCCAGCAGCGACGCCGAGAGGCCGGCGGCCCGCCCCCTCGGCAGCACCAGCACCGGATCATCACCCCGAGCCTGGAGGGCAGCGGCCGGGGCTGGGGGCGCCGCTGGGGGCAGGAACCCCACGAGGAGCTTCCTGGGCGGTCGGTGGGAGCCACTCGCCCTTGGCTGCTCCCGGCCCGAGGGGCCCCGCGGCCAGGTCCCGTCACCCGACGGTAGTGTGTCCTGTGGGCGGCCCGCCCCGGAGCCAGGAGACCCGCGCCCACGGAGCCCCCCACCCCCGCCTCCTCGCGCCCGGTGCGCTCTGTGCCGCTGGCACCCCCCACCCCCACCCCTGCTCCTGGGGCGCTCCGTGCTACCACCCTCCCCACCCCCCCACTCCTGGGAAGCCCCGTGCTGCTGGCACCCCCCACCTCGTTCCTGGGGCTTCTGTGCTGCTGGCACCCTCCCCACCCCCACCCTGCTCTCGGGGTGTCCCGTGCCACTAGCACCCTCCCCACCCCCCACCCCCGTGCTCCCGGGGCGCCCCGTGCCGCTGGCACCCCCCACCCCACTCCTGGGCAGCCCCTCCCCACCCCCCTGCTCCCGGGGCGCCCCGCGCCGCTACACCCCCCCCCCAGGGCTAGGTGCAGCTCCCTGCCCGCCCGCCCCGCTCACTGTGACCCCACTTCTTCTCCATCCCTCTGGGCCCCCGCTCCCGTCTCTCCAGGGGTGGCAGTGGGGGGTGGCGGTGGGGGTGGAGTGGGGGTGGGGGTGGGGGAGTTTCTCAGGGGCTCCGCTGCCAGAGCCTGCGCTCCCCAACAGCCCGGCCGGGGGAGGACCATCGAGGGCCGCCTGGAGTCGGGGTCCCCAGGGCTCACCCCGGGCCGGGCTAGCGGCATTCCGCCTTCCCTCTGCGGTGGCCTGGGGGTGGGGGGTGGGTCTCCACTGTCCCTCTGCCAGAAGAGGTACTGGGTCCCGCTGCTCTTCCCTCAACACCCCCCAGAGCCCCCATCAAGTAAAGCTGGGAGGTGGCCGCCACCCCGAGTTCACTGGAGGCTTCCTCACCCTGCCCCCTGCTCGGTGCACGCTCACCCCTGGCATCCCTGCTGCTCCTTGCCCCCGCCCCTTTGCAGCTCCTCTGTCCGCTCCTCTAGGTCCCCGCTGACTGTGACCTCGTCCTTCCTCTGCCGCACAGGGTAGCGTCTGACCCCCGCCCCTGACCCATAACTTGGCTCTCATGGTCCTCACCAGCGCTGCGGCTGATGGCCTGTCACCTGCCCTGGAAAGTGAGCACCTGCAGGACGGCCCCCCAATGGCTCGGCAGTGCCCAGTGGAGGAGCAGCCTTGACAAGGCCTTGAGTGTAAGTCCAGGAGGCAGCACAGTAAGGGGCCAAAGTTCTGGGGGTGAGACAGGACAGGAGTTGGGAAGCTCGAACCCCGGGGATTCTATTTGCAGGTTTAGGGCTAGTGTCCCTGACTCAGTGGGCCAAGGCTGCAAGCAACTGAGGGAGCTCATTTTTTTTTTTTTTCCCCATCTACAACAATCTGGCTTCTGTCCTAAAGTTCCTGATTGTTCAGTGAGTTTCACACAAAAGGGTCCCTGGAGCGGACTGTCACTGCCCATGGGCACCCACCTCCAACGCCCTCCCCAACACCGGGCTCTCAGTCCCCGCACTTCTGAGACGCACCCTGTGCATCTGACCAATACGAGGGCGCGGCTGCGGGAGCGGAGAAGGCTTCGAGGCCGCATCACGAGAGGAGGAGGAAAAGCGAGCTTTCTCGGAGGTTATTCTGTGCTTAACACAATGCTCCCCCCATGGTATGGGGAATGCCTGGAGGAAACGCGTCTCCTGACGTGGGACAGTGACAGTTTCACGACGCACAAGACATTGTCCCGAAATTCCAAGACTAGGAAACGTGTTGTGTGAGCTTCTAGCAGAAGGAATAGCACATCCTCCTGGGGCAGATTGAATTAAAATCCCAAAGCACCAGTGTACGAAGAGAAGGAACCGAGTAATACTGTCCACGGGGATTATGACCTTTATGCTCCCTAACAAATTCCAGAGGCATGAAAATCGGCTTCCTTCCCTGGCAGTGCCACTCTGCTTCCTATAATTAACCTTTTATGTGACAGACGACTTTTGGCCTAACACGTCCCTATTTACCACTCCATAACTGACACAGATAACTCGCTTTCAAATCTGGAATATGTATGGGCTCTGGGCTTCTTACAGTGAGTCGCAGCCGTACACGGTTCTCAAGTGTGCAAAATTTAGAGCTTGCTGACATAACAAGACTTTGTTTTTCTAGGTTTATAGTAAAGTGCAGGAGATTGAAATGGGCAGCCTTTATTAAGTAACACACAAGTCATCTGTTTGTTGTTGTTAGGAGACCACAAAATAAGATGGATTCTCTTTCCTTTTTTTTTTTTTTTTTAAACAGGCTTTCCAAATTAAAAAGCATACCATTTTATAAAACATTTCACAGGACATAAAATTGTTGGAAAAAAATTTCAGGTGATTTTCAAGCTCCCAAGTGAATTCATGTACTGACTAGGCACGTTGGTGAGTTGACGATTCGTAGGCCATCCAGAATTCGGAGGAAAGCCCCTGAAAGAGAGGAAAATGAAATATATTTGTATACATCAAGAAACTAATAATTATTTATGCTCTGTTGGGGATGGCAGGACGTAGGCAGAGGAAGGAGGCAAGCAGAAACTTAATAGAAATAAGGATATTTATGGAAAACAAGGCAAAATAGAATTATAGAAACTTAAGAACATAAAATATCTGTGTTCAGCGAGGCAGATGAACGGTTGATTAGCATGAGGAGGATCAAGATGCTCTCCATTGCATTTATGGGTCTGATTTCGGAATGGCAATGCTTTGTTTTACACAGAGCCTCTAATATCAAAATGTGAAATGGGTCAGTCCTTGCCTTCCTGTCACCTTGGATGAGACTCAACTTTCAGATATATTTACAAGTTTTTATTAACTGACACCAAAGAGTGTATTTTGATGTGCTACCCAGAACACAACTGTTATTACCAAGTGGTAATCAAGAGGGGAAAAAAGCCAACACAACCACAACAGAAGGAATGGCCAGGGCCAGGGGGCCAGGTGGGCCACTGGCCCAGGCTTCGGGGTGTGAGGATCAAGCCGCACAAACAACTTAAAGGCTAATTCTGCAAAAGGTAGACGGGAATGTAGCAAATCTACTAATGGGGGTATTGTCTGGTTAATCGACGCGGATGACGTGAACAGCGTGCCGTGCCGGGCTCGTTTTGGACCTTGGGGCCACCTATGGGCAGTTCCAAGTCAGGTGTTTGCCAATCGAGCGCCTGCAGCCCGTGCTCCCAAGAGTGAGCAGAGAAAAGGGTTCTTTTGGCAAAAGAAGAGAGGGAAGGTCCTGAGGAACCGGCAGGAGCTGGGACACAAGAGCACAGCAAAAGGGGGTGAGGACCCTGTAAAGTCACACCATGGGCCCCTCGGAGCCGATACGTGCAGGCTCAGGAGCAGAGGGAGCCCCCCAACCCCCGACAGTCTCAGGAAGGGCCCCGGGACCACCTCTGTCAGCTGTCCCTGTCCCCTCAGATGTCCCAGGAGCTGCTCCCACTGGGCCCGGTGCCCCCGCCTGCCCCCGCATCCACACGGGGATCCGACCCACCCTGTGCCACCCACCTCCCTGCTGGGCGCTTTGACCCTTCCAAGCCCACTTGGGAGAGTTTTCGGTGTGGCACAGGTGCTAAGAGCTGACGGTACTGAATGCACACAGCATGCAGAGTTCAAGTTTCCTTCAGAAGAGCATATTAAGTGATCCCAATACCTCTATGGGGAACAACACAGTAATATTCATAAAAAATGGAAAGGCTCAATGAACCTGCTTCCGAAATTCATTCCTATGACGCAAACCAACGAGTGCCGTCACAGAGGCGTAGGGCTATGCTTTCTAGCACTCTTTAATGAGTGTAAAATACTGGAGTGAACTACACATCTGTCAATACTTGTTTAAATTGTAAATCATGTAACTACGATTCAGCCAATGAAAAGAAAAAGGTAGCTTTATAGTATAACGTGATAGAAAATGAATTCCAAGATATACTTGAGGGGGTGCCTGGGTGGCTCAGTCTGTTAAGCATCTGCCTATGGCTCAGATCATGATCCCAGGGTCCCGGGATCGAGCCAAGATATACTTGAAAAGGAAACGGGGCAGGAGTAGAAAACAGTGTACAGTTTTGTATGTAAAAAAAAAAAATAGAAAAGAAACACATGCTTTGCGTCTGCATAGATGATCTCTGGCAAAATACGCACACAAAAACCCAACGCAAACAGCTGCCCTACGGGTTTGGGGCAGGGGTGGGAATGAAGACCGACTTTTCACTGTATACTCTGCTGCAGTTTTGGGTTTTGTACCAAGCACGTGCACTACCTATTTCAAAAAGGACATATTTTGGCCTTTCAGCTTCACATTTCTTCCCACGGAAAAAGCCAATGGTTGCAGAAGTAACTGTCTCCTTTCCACTGAGAAACCAAACTAATAGTGCAAAGTGCCCCATGCTGGGATTTTACAAGTTACAGGTTGTCCCCTGCTCCTTCACCCACTGCCTCCCTCATTGGTTGCACACGCAACACCTCTCAGCCGCTGCTGCGGGCCAGGCTCGATGCTGGCGTCTGGATGCACAAGTCAAGTAAGACATGGTTCCGTGTTTAGAGAACCTCGTCTTGCAGTTGGTGAGAAAGACACCTCAACAAGGAGGGGGGCGCATCTAGCTCGGGGAAGATCCCTCCAGCCCCGCTCACTTCCAAGGCATCTGCTCATTTATTCTGTTTCTGCATTTTCAGGCCTGTCAAGTATGAGGAACTGGTGTTAGGCAGCAGACACGGAGGTGTGAGTAAGACCCGGATCCTGCCGGGAGTGGGGTCAAATGAGATCTTTATGTCTCTCTCTCTCCATCCGAATGACACCATTTAAGAACCAGTCAAACTCTCTCCAACTTCACCTCTAACTCCACCTGGTCAGGGCAAGGACACCTTGATCCACTTTCCTGTACTATGGAGACCGTGAGCCACCTGCTTCATTTATTCCCTCGCGTGTTCGACTGCTTGTTCATGGACCCCTTCCTGGGTGTCAGATGTGGGACACACGCTAAAGAGGTCTACAGGGCGTGGGTGGAAAGCCCGGTGAAGGACACAGTTCTGCAGAATTCAGGCAGCTGCAAGGGTTCTCGGCAGGGACTCACTACCCAGGCCTGATGTGGACACAGTCCCCAACAAGGGGACGGGCTTCCAGGACAAGGGGAAGCTTCAGAGTTCAGCTCGAGGTTGGACAGATCATAACGCCTAGCTGTGCCACGAGCTGGGTGAGAGGGGTAGGGAAGCATGATTTCAGGCAGGGGATGACACACACAGGAAAGCACAGAGAGGGATGCTCAGTGGCAAGGCTGTAGGGGCCTGGAGGTGGGACCAAGGCCACTTGGGGGGCTTTGTGTGCAGAGCCAAGGAGCCCCAGCTCCACCCCGAAAGCCCATCACTTAAACTGAATCCCGTTGAGACACAGCTTCAATCAGATGGGATTTTCCATTAGACACAAGGAGGATGCAATTTACATTTGAAAACGTTCTACAGCCTTTCTGAAAGATGGAAACAGAATCGAGGCAAAGTAGACTTTGTTATTTTAAATATAATGATAGGCTTTTTTCCTTTCTATCCGTACAAGACACTGAGTATCAATGTAAACAGTAGATATTTGCATAGAAAATAACAAACTTTATTATTAATATTCATTACCCAAACCCTATAAAGTGGCTGATATTTTGGTTAATTAGACTTTTGATTACATTTTTTTCTCCAAATTATTAGTTTTAGACTCTGGGATTCATTTCTCTGTACACAGTGACCAGAGGCACTGTCTAATTTTGAGTTAAACCAATGGAGCCAGACCAGCTGAACTGCAAACCTATTAACAGGAGTGGGGGCTTTGTTTTTGTTGGGTTTTTTGGTCTCTGCTAACTATTCCTAACCATCCCTGACACTGTGTGTTAGGAATCCTATTGATCCACTGACAATGTCACTCTCTCATATTCATTGACTTGCTGAACACTTACTCTGCTGTGAGGATAAAAGGTTAGGGCCCTAGTTTTTAAGACACTCTGTGTCTGGATAGCAGATCAATAGCCAGTGCAAACAGAGGTTTGTACAAAGTTCTTGTCGGAGCGGAGACCGACAAGGCACTTTCTCTGCCTAAGGGGATAGAGAAGGGCAAGCCAAGAGGTGAGGAGGATGTTAGAGTTGGAAATAGGGTCACTGTGTTTGAGCTTCTTTGCAGGATCTGTGAGACCCATCATTCTGTGCCCCGTGCCTCCCAGACGGCATCATCTGTTGCTATCTCTGATTACCTTAGTACAACTGACGTCTCCTAGATGATCCTACTTTCTTATAATTTCATGTATCTACATAAAGCAACAAATAAGAACGAGTACCTACATTAGTGCTGGACGTGTTTCTACTCCTCCTACAGCAATCCTGAGGTAGCTAGCATTACCGTGCCATTTAGGGTAGGGAAAACTACCATCTCGACCTCAGTTCATAGAGGCTGAGTTACTTAACCAAGGTTATAAAGCTGGTAAATGACAGAGCTGGGATGCGAATGCTTCCTGGAATGCCTTCCCCTAGATGGTTATCTCCTTCTGGTGCTCATGCTCCTGCTGGCACTTGTCCCACCTCCAGCCACCCGCTGGCAGACAGGTCTCTCTTCCACGTGCCTGCACCTGTCCTACCAACTCCTTCCCTGCCCATCTTCCTGGTAGGCTGTTGTGTCTTCAAGGACAGGACTCTGTCATCAGCGTTGTATTTCCAGTGTCTGCGGCACAGCAGATACATCAGTGTATCTGAATGGATACTGGTACTGATTCAACCCAGAATATCTTGGATAGAAGACGATTCAGAACCTAAATACAGTCAAAGAATCTCTCCAGGAAGGAATCTGGACCTGGGGAGGAGCAGACAGAGGAGGGAATACTTCGCAATCGCAATGTGTTGATAATGCTCAGTGTTGCAGGAGTTACTGTCAGGGAGACCGGTAACATGAAGATTAGCCCCTGCTCATAAAGAGCCTTTGACCCGAAGGGGGAATCAGTGCTAGTCCAGACCATGGCTAACGACTACTCTGGATTAAAGTGGATGGTTCAAAATTGGCTCTACTGGTTGCAGGGTGTGTGAGTTTTTTACATAAAGTGATCTCGTGTTTTGAGGCTTAAGTGTCTTCCTTTGTAAAGTAGAGACTACACTTACCTTCTTGTAGTTCTGAGGAATCAGTGAAATCATTTATTGAGAGTGATGAGCTCATGCTTGGTCATAACGGTAACTTGTAACAACCTAAGTCATGACATCCATACTAAAACGAGTAAGTGTAAAGTAAGCATGTGGCTTCAGAGAGGGCAGACGTCTCATGGCCTGGTGTAACTGGTGAGGACGCCATGGAAAAGCGGGCACTGGGCCAAGCCCTACAGGGCGGGCATGATTTCTGAGGGTGAAGGAACAGGGGCCAGCACGTGTAATTTGTCAGTCTACTGCTTCCAATCCATCCTGAATTACTGCCGTGTAAGGAAGGCCCACACTTAAATAGCACCCCCGGGGCCTCCTTTGTGTCTAGCACAGGACTCATGCTCAGTACATGTTGTAAAATGAGAAAAGAAGCGAATCCCAAGGGGGTAGACAAAGGTTAGGGGAAAGATCTGGGAATTGTGCAATGTGCTCTGAGGTGCCGAAGAAGACAGCTCGTCCACAGCAGAGTCTTCTTGTTGAAATGGGAAGAAATAAGGCTTGGCAGGCTATGTGCCAAAAATGGGAAGCCCCTGGAAGCCAAGCAGGAGGACTCTTGTCTAATAGTATTCCTGGTGGTTCCTGACCTTTCTGGCTCACAATCCCTTTTTATAGACCAATGGAGCTATGGATTCTTTAAAAAGTGAAAATAAACATGGGGCATCTGGGTGGCTAAGTTGGTTAAACACCTGCCTTCAGCTCAGGTCATGATCCCAGGGTCCCAGGACTGAGCCCAGCATTGGGCTCCCTGCTTAGCGGAGAACCTGATTATCCCTCTCCTTCTGCCCTCCCCCTCTGCTTGTACATTCTCTCTTGCTTTCTCCCTCTCAAATAAGTAAGTAAAATCTTTTTTTTTTTAAATAAACATAACATAGAACAATATTTCCTACGAATGGGCTCTGAAGACCATCTGAGGGTTTAACCTCTAGGGACCTATCTATAACCTCTCACTTAAGAAACCTACATTATTATTCAATATGCTACTACCCCCTCCAAAACTACTGAATAGGGATGGAAGTAGTGAAAACTTTCAATGTAATACAACATATTGAAAAAAATGCATGATGTGTCACATTCTCTTTCTGTGCATGGAAAGCCCCCTGAGCCTCGCCAAAAAACTCAAAACCAAAAATCTTATTTTGGGCCATGAGAAAAGAAGAGAACCATTTTCTTCCTAACAGTAAGTTAATTATTTCAGGTTAATTTTGGCTATTGGAGGGGAAAACAGCTCAGCTACCCCCCCCCATACATATTAAATATGGATATTCATCTTGACAATTAAACTTCACATTACTGTTTCACTTTCCAGGTTACAAAACACTCACAATCTTAGCTCACTCAATTCGCAGTAACAACTACATGAGCTAGTAAGCATCACTCTCGCTGTGGTGATGGCCAAAGGCACACAGTCAGGGGCAGAGCTCAGATACAAATACTTTCAAAAAAGCAAGACTCTCTGGAATGTCAGGGCCTAACTAGTGTTTCTGATAGTTTAGAAAAACAAAAAACCGAAAAAACAACAAGAGACCAGACTAACGATACATTTCCTTCACATATTCCTAAATTAAAAAAAAAAAAAACTTACGAAAATAATTTTATAAGACACACATTAGAGTACTTGTCTTACAGAAGTAATAATTTGGTTTGCCAAACGCAGAAAGGACAGCAAAGCACACGCACAAAACCAGGCTCTCACAGGCCTAAGATAATTATTGTCAGAAATCTGCAGCATACCACTGCAGTTTTTCACCTATAAATATAGAGAGAGTACACAGAATCAGTTTTTAAGAAACGGGAGTCATATTCTACATTAGGCTGGGTAAACTGCTTTTGCTCCTTAAGAGTTTGGACATTTCCCCCCCATTATTGACGAGACTTCTATCTGGGTTGCAGAAAGGAATCCTGAGTATTAAGTGCGGTGGTGACCTGCACCTGTGCCCTCCGCAGGGTCGCTGCTGGTGCTGCTAATCGGAACCAGCGTGGGATATCCACCATGTGACTTCAGATAAGCATGAAATTGTCTTCATCTCCCGTAACACATCACAGTAATTGGAACAAAAGGCGCTCACCTCTGCTTGCTCCTCGGGCACAACCTGTGTCTCTGACTTCCCACGATGGCTGACATTTCCTAACAAAAGAAAAGACCTTTTTACTCAAAGAGAAGGAAATCTCTTAAGAAACAAAAATTACACATTTTACATAATCTACAATTAAAAAAAAAGCAAAAACAAAACCTTAAGCCAAATGATTAAAGAATAACTTTATTAAATATTTGTCAGTTTTAAGAAGTGCCCTCAATTACTAACCACAGAATGTATTACAAACGACTAGTTATGAGGTTTTACATTTGTTTAATAGGGAAGAATCGGCCCCAATTAAACTGACTGAACTAAGGCTTTTTAGATTACTAAAACAAATTAAACTTTTTAAAATGAGAATTTAGGTGATCTTAAAACCTCTCTAAAATGGATAATGAAACTTGCCAAGTTGTAATCTCCCTGGTTTTATTAGTTATATTAAGATAAATTAAGTGAGATTAAAATCTTATTTGATTTATTTACCTTTGACAATGAAGACCGTTTAAGGGTTACACATCCTCAGCCTTGGCGAGTGCGACCTCAAATAGTCAAGTCAGAATGTCTTTAAAAGCTTTGTGCTTAGTGCTTCCAGCATGGAGCGAGGTGTTCATTAAGGTACCAAAATTCTCATAAAAAATCCAAAGTTGCACTAGTGAAAAAACGCTCAACAAGATGAAAACTGATCACATCTTTTTCAGAAAATCAGTAATTATTTTAAAACCAGTTTTTAAACAAGATTTGGTTTTGCGTCGTTTTAACGTGCTACTCACGCAGCGTGACACCATGTGGACTCTTTAAACAGCATTTAAATCTACGGTGAGTAGAGAATGGTACATTTAATTTTATACCATCTTTTAAGTCAGTTGTACAATGTTTAGTGTGACCCTTTTATGACAAGCGTTGTTAAATGAACTCTTTCCCTGTTTACAACTATTTATGAAGGCCTTTTTAAATAAGAGAAACATGAAATTGTTAGCTCACACACACGGAATTTCTTTCAAAAGTTTATTTAGTATCAAGCAAGAGAAGACTTTGCTCAACACTACAGAACATTTCAAGACTTGAGTTACAAAAGAATACCACATTATTTGCACTTGTAATTGGCTTCCCTTTTTACGCATGTTGGCAAGAGAAAAAAACTAGCATATGGCTGAAAGATAAAATAACTAAATTGCTATGGAAACCTTTAAAATGAAAGGTGAGGCTTATGTTAAAAGGATGGATTAACATATTTAGTAAACCTAGTTTTTTGTTTAACACTAGTTAATCAAAGTTATTTTTTTTTCCTTTTGATGACCTATTTTTTCATATACAGACTGGAAATAACAAAATTTTACATGTCTTTTTTTTTTTTTTTTCTGCCCAGGTTGATGTTTCCACAAAGTAGTTTTAAAGTTCCATCCATTCAGATTTTAAGCATTTTGATTTATTTAAAAAGGGATTGTTCATAGAAAAACATTACTTTGAACAGTACACAGGACTGGTGGAGACTGGCTATTTCACAACACCAGACAGTACAATCAGTATCTGCCGTAGGGCTGGTCTCTGTAGACGCCCTTCGCGGTCCTCGCTGCAGGTGCCTTGTGTCTCGAGTTAGCCCAGTCCTCTTGCCCTAAAATCAGGAAGATGAATCACAATTAGATCATTGCCATGGATTCCACTGGCTTCATTTTTCAGAATCTAAGTTAACCCTGAACCAGGGTTATATTGAAGATATACATCCCTGATGTACTGGGGTGGGGGGAAACCAAGGGTATTTACTTAGAGAACAATTACAAACGTGATGGAAAATGGTCATCCCACTAACAAAACCTATCAGTATGAGGAAAAAAATGACTTTTGTATCTTAAATGGCAACCGACTTGGCAAGAACTTTCCTTCTGGTCACTGGTTTAACAAAAAAGCTCACAAGCTCAAACAGCAAACTGAACTGCCTTTTGCTAAACGGTAAGACATTTACGAATGGGAAAAGGATCACTCAGATTTTTTTTAACAGCAAAAACAGAGAAAACACAGATAAAGGATTTGTGCAGGCAAAAGGAGACATGGGGATGGGCAGAGTGGAGGAGAATCCTGGTCACTACGTCTCCCAGGTCCTTCCACAGCCAAAGTGAAGAATGGAAGTCATGGTCAGGGGAAATGTTCCATCTCAGCACTTTCAATGAGCCATCAAAAGTCTGACAACAAAGAGTTAACATCTCTGCTGCAACATACAGCAATTTAAAAGCCCTGTGTCCACCGAGACCAATTTAAAAAGGCTGTGAAGGAAAAATACTTAAAATGACCTGGTCTTTTGATACAAACATGCAATCAACGTCATTCCCTCAAGCTAACTTGCATCCATTTAAGTAGACAGCATTCAACAAACCAAAGTATTTCTCTTAAGTGTTTGTAACAAATAACAACAATAACAACAACAAAAATATCCAAGGTGAGGTCATCACGGCTTGGGGCAGGTGATATAACAAAATGTACTTCAAAAGGAACACCGGAAAATGGTTTTTCAGTTATGTTCAGAGAAATGTCAGAACATCCATTAACCAGAATCCTGATTCACTTGCACTGGGTACTAGGCATTTATCAGAGCTTTGCAACTGATTGAAGCTTCCTGTTCTCTGATCTCTCTGCCCTCCGGCAAAGGAGCTTCTTAGTATCATGTTGCTGCCGCCAATTCTTTTAATTAAACCTGTCCTCCTTCTGCATATTGAGACTTTGGACATGGATTCCCCAGCATCTCTACCAGCTCCCACTGAAGTAAGCGGGGGCTTAGCTGTCTCCCCGGAAGCCGGAGAGCGCCTTACATCCCTTTCCTGGCTCAGTGCTTCTGTAACCTTTATGGAATGACTCCCACTGTAACGTTTTTGGAGAGTTTGGGATTGGAGATGAATTAAAATATGAAGATGGGGGTGGGCCAGTCCTTTGAGAGCTGCAGTCTCGACAGCTTCATTTCCCTCCACTGTCAAGAGGCAAAGACACTTCAAAAAGATCCGAGCTATCAAGTGTCTGCAGGCTGGCAAACGACTCTATAAATGAGAAAATCAGCACAGGGCAATCAACCCAAACAGAGAATCTAAGTTGAGGATGTGAATCTAGGCAATCTTCTAAGAGTTTTTAGTCCTCTTTAAATATTAAATTTAAATCTTAGAGGAGTTTCCGAAAATAGCAAGATATGCACAGATGAGCCGAAAGGAGGCTGGTGTTAGAGTCAGAAGGTCTCCCCAGTTAGGATCCCGAAGGTGTTTCTACGACCACTAACCCGTTCCATTCCTGGCTCACGTCGCTCGGCCTAGTTACTCACCGTAGGAATCGTAGGCCTCCTCGCTGAGTCCATGTCCGTAATCATAGTAATCAGCACCACTGCAGCGAACAAAACACACACACACACACACACACACACAAAAGATGAAAACAGGCCACAATAACATGACTGTGAGTTTAAATCCTATTCAGTGAAGTATCCTAAAACTTAGAAGAGACAGCTACCCCAGGGCAGGGCTACACACTGAAGGAAGGAACTCCCGCTGATGGCTGAGATCCGCCCCAGAAACCTCAGACCTTAGGAATCACCAAAGGTTTCCCACCCGAATACCTAATAAATGCGTCTGACACGTTAGCCACAGCAACTGGCCGGTGAGCACAGAGTGAGTGTCCCCTGTGCGTGACGGATCCGAGGCCTGCGTGTCGTGCAAGGGCAGGGTCTGCACAGACGGTGGGTGTGCGGTGGACAGCCTCACGCCCGGGGCCCGGCACCCTGGGAGGGGAGAGGAGGGAGAACCACGGGTCTGCCCGACGGAAGGGAGGCCAGGGCTCCCTTCCTCCTTAGCTCCTGCCGGCCCTGCCTCCCAGAAAACCCGCCGCGGCGTGACCTGCGGGCGTTGGGCCCTTTACACCAGGGACTGAGATCTGCTGTTCCGTTAGGCCGGCACCACGGCGTTAGCGTCAGGAGGTCAGGGCGATGCCGGAGTCGTGGCCGGACAGCAGGGAGGCTCCCGGCCTCGCCGCGTCTGAGGATGGAGGCTGAGCATCTTTTCAGAGCACAGGCACGGCTACGTCCTTGTGTCCAGCATCCTTGAGATACTGGGGGGGCTGGAGGGAGCCTGTTACCACGGTCATGCTGCGGGGGATGTGGCAACAGGCCACACACACACAGTGTATGTGAACCACACGTGATTTTTTTTGTAGGAACAAACCTAGGGAAAATCTAGATTACTAAACCATGGCAGGCATAATTAGTTTATGATGCTATTTTGAGTAGCCAAGGAAGAGCTTCCACTCACCCTCTCAGGCTTTCCGCTTTCCCACTCTGCTTAATTTTGTAGGGAAACAATCATCCTGAATGTGTTATCTTGGATTGTCATGGAAATAAACATTCTCATTATTCCAACCTCATGCAATCAAGTAAGAAGTTCTAATCAAAATGGAAAATGATCCAGCTCGGCTGCTTAACACCTTAGGAAGTTGCAAGATGAATAACAAAATCCACGGCGTGAGTGGTGCTGTGTGCCAGCTGCCGAGATCCCACAGAGTCCTCCCGGCAGCCCCTGGGTGAGTGGAACTGTCATACCCATTTTAGAGACAAGGATGCTGCTGCAGATCAGAAAGCCAGGATGTCAGCCTACACCCTCACGGAGAACACACAGGTGTCACCCTTGTTGGTCAAACATGCCTGGCTTTCCTGCCACGCTTCCATCGTCAGGTGAGCAGTACCAGAGACTCCTCGCCTCTGCTGACTGGCACAGCACGGCGATCCTAGGAGGAAGGGGTAAGCAAGGGGGGCAGGTTCCTTTTTGCCTCAAGCATGTGCGGGGGACTCTTCACATCTGCTCCTCCTCCTGCCAGAAATGTTCTTCTTTCCTCTCCTTCCAAGCTCCCTGCTACTCAGTCTGTAGCCAAAATGCTTCCCAGTTTCCCAGAGTTAGGCTGGCTCCCGGGGCGGCACACTTTGCTCGCTTCTCGCCCTCCTCTGGCTGCCAGGCCCTCACACTACATGCACTGAGTGAGTCCACGGAGGAGTCGCATCATGCTGGCTTCCTGGAGAATGTGATGCTCCAGCAGTTCTGAGCAACCAACCAGGGGGGTGAAGCTGAGGTAGAGGTGCAGAGAAGGGGCAGGGGGGTGGCGGCAAGGGCCTTCCAGGCTGAGGGTACAGCACACAGAAGGCCCAGATGCACCAGACAGCCTGAACAATTTGAGTGTCTACAGGCACTTCCATCACACAGAGTTAATAAGCACTGATAAAACGCTGAGGCTAGAATATTCCTCGGTATAAAATGCTTCCTCCATGTGCAAAATATAGGTCAGATCTTGTTATCCTGGTTTAATCACATCCTCACTGGTTAATTAAATATCGTGTAACATACTGGTTACGATGGGAGCTCTCTATGGCACGGAGATAGAACATAAGCTCTCTGGGATGTGCCATTAAGTTCCATGGCTTTTTAAATGTTGCCCAGGAAGAGAAGAGTCACTTCTACAAGCTGACCTAGTATATACCACGTGGAAACGTGCAATTTTCCTAAGGAGGCACCTGTAGCTATGGGGTTTTATAAAAAGGTCTCCAGGTTGAGAGCTGACGCTCCTAGGGGACGTGGCAGAGAGGCAGGGAGTATGAGAGGCAGGGCACTCTGCTCAGTGAGACCCTGCATATCTGCCTGCATGGTCACCCTTAATATCTCCCTCAAACTGCCCTCCCTGGGGATGAAACAGCTGAGGCTCGGTGAGGCTGAGCCACCTGCCCAGAGTCACAAAGCCCAGAAGGAACAGCGTCTACGCTCAAAGCTCAGGATGCCACCACCACCAGGTGCTGAAGACCTGTGCTGGTAGCGGACTGCTCACTGCAGCGGGGCCACCATACACAGGTGGTTCCTGTTCACTCTGACCTGACCCAACACTGTTCCAGAATGTCTTATGTGCCCCCTCTGGGGCTTACAGGATCCCTCCTTGTGCTCAGAAGTCTAAGGATCCACATGAACTCACTGCCGTGTGGTCATGGTCATTAGTGCTGCCTTACTTTGCTATCTGCTCTCAAGCTCCCTCTCTCCCTTTCAATAGTCCTAATTCTCTCTCGAGGCAGCAAACACACCTGTGGTGAGAAGGAAACACGAGGGATGAGCTAAAGAGGATCACAGAAACACTCATATTAAAAAATTAAAATCAGCAAAAACAATCAATATAAGAAATAATATTGCTTTCCTAGCTTCTAAGGCTTTATAGCTTTAAATGTGAGAACTGCCTTTCAAGTAGAACATTTTTTTCATCTTGAGGACAGAAATTCAGCAACTAACCTCTTGATGAAATGTCAGTGTCAAATACTGGTCAAGACACTGGAGTCTGAACCGGGCCCCCACCTGCTGGGCTCCCTGGGAGAATAATCCCACTCACTATCTTTGTGCTCCGGCCGTCAAACCCCGGGCCTGCTCTAGATGCTGCTCAGACCTGGGCGCCTTTGACATTCTTGATGGCTCGTGCACAGCATTTGGCCACAAAGTAGTCAGAATGACTTCTCATTTTGTTGAAAATAAAGTGGCTAATGTTTCACAGAAACTCAGCACTAAATTAAATGACCCTCAGTCCCCTTTCCAAAGGTCAGAAGTTACAGCATAATGGCTCCTTAGACAAATAAAAACCCAATGTTCTTGAGAATTTTATCTGTTGCACAAAGTGAGTTACATCTTCGTGGGCCTAAACGAATTTCCTTTACGGAGACAGGTCCCCACTGTGTAACTCAAAACTGTAAATGGCAGGCACTGAAGTTAACCAACAGAGAGGTCAAACAATTGCTTTTTGACCCAACCAAGTCTTTATTAAACGGACTGAACAATAATGCACATCAGTATAGACTGGGCATTTGTCAGTGAAGTGCCCTAAAACCGTTCAGTATAAAAAAATCGGAGGCGAAGAATGTTTCCAATGAGTGGGAGGGTAAGAGGTAACAAAATTTGGTCCAGCAACGGTCTGGTGATAAGACAATCTCAGTTTTGACAAGTGAAAACTTTAAACTGACATTTGCTATCATTTCACCCAGTTTCTGATTATTTATTGCAAGACTGTCATCAAGCCAGGAAGCTGGGAGCAGCTGAGCCCCATTCTCATACCTGTCAGTTCCACTGAATTGCTTTGCCAGCGCTTCATCTCGTGCACCTCAAATGTCTATTAGCCAAAGATGTGTCCTATTTCCCAAGGATAAACTAAAAACCCAACATACGGCAAAAGGGAAAAGACACTAAAAATCTCTTCACTTGTGCATACAACACGTAACATTAATACAGGTAAGAAAACACAGTAGGCCAAACAGACCTCAACTCCATCAAAATGGACCCAGGGAAGCTGCTCCCGGAACAGAGCAAGAGGGGGCTGCTCTTGTTGGTACTATGGCCACACCTGCCGGGGCCTTTTCTTCCTCCACGCTCCACCCTATCTCAGTGGTGGAGGGAAGTGCGAGGATGCAGTCTAACTCCTGGCTTTCCTGGAGGTTCTTGGTTCCATCGACCAGGACCAAGAAATGGCCCTCTGCATGGAGAGACAACACAGGGAGTAAGGAGCAAACTGTAGCCCTAGGATCAAGTCAAGCACTAGCTAGACCTTCTACTCTCCATTGACAGGGGTCCCAGAGGAGGACAGAAATTCTGAGTCCCCAGCTCACCCTGTCCCCATGGGATTGAGAAGGCAATCCTGACATCTGCCTGTCCCCTGTCCTTTCAATTTCTTCAAGACTCTCCACCAATTTCTACTTTAAAGTCACTGACACCAATCTCATTAGCCCCCTTGTTTGTATTTATGTCAGCTCAGCAAGTTCTAGAATACTAGGACTCCTAACGTCTTGCCCACCCACTGCTGTCCACCCACATCTCCTACCCAACTCTGCAATCCTTTCACCGGGCCCCCTAAAATTCATGGCCCGCCACTGGCAAAACCCCCCGTATAGTCAGAGTTTCTAGTTTGCTCAGGGCAAAGAAAGTTGTGCAGTCATTCTTTTCACTGGCTATTCCCTTTGCCTGGAATGCTCTAGTCTCCGGATATCTGTGTGGCTAACATCACCTTTCTCAAGTCTTTTCTCAGATGATGCCATCTCAACAAGGCCTACTCAAGATCACGACTGTAATCCCCCTGCTCTGGTAACCCGCGTCCACAGTACTCTGCTCTATTTTTTTCTACAGCACGTTTCACTTTCCATTATACTATCTACTTAGTTATTATATTTACTGTTTTCTCTCAGTAGAATGAGAATGTATGCTCTACAGGGAGGGAACTCGAGGCTGTTGTATTCAACAACATACCTCAAGTTCCTTTAGAACAACGCCTAGTACAAGGCAGATGCTCAGTAAAATTTGTCAAATACATTGACTTAATTACAACAAAATTATTGAAAAATTATGTGGCAAGGCAATGCAAGAAAGACAAAGTATTTGCAGTGAATAAAGGGGAATAAGACATGGCTCCTCTCGCCTTAATTCTAAAGGTGTAAGATGGACTCAAAGGACTTAATATTTTTCGGGTGTTGGATAGACTTGAAAAGTACAATTAAGAGGAAGCACTAAGCCCAAGTGTGGTCCTATATTTAGGAAATACTTTTGAGCACTTACTATCTGAAAGACACCATTCTGAAAAATGGAGATAAAGAAATAAAGAAGGTGTGTTCTCTACTCTCAAGAAGGTACACTTCCACAGAACAGGGTATAGGTGTGGATGAGCATGGATGTGCATCCAAAATACCTTGGAATCAATCAGAGTCATTTTATTGGGAGGTGAGAG